CCATGGGCCTGTGTCTCCCCATGCACAGCTTCTGGACCGTTTGTGGGCTGCTGTGCCTCTCACAAGCTGAGACACACCATTCCTATAAGAACCGGCCAGAGGCCCTGAGATGCTGCCATTCTGTCCCGGTTCTGTCTCCCGAGGGCACAGGCTCGGTGACAGGTTCTACAGCTTTGGTCTGGTGCAGGAGTGCAGAGGTTCCCAAGGCCCCATTCTTGTGCTACAGTAAGCCCTGCACAATGGCGAGGTTCCGGGGCTGGACAGCAATGAATCCCAAAGAAGCTTGAGAGTCAACAGAGATCCAGTCGCTCAGGGGCTGCTCCAGTGCAGTCATCTAGAACAAGAGGCTTAGCTTCTGGGGCATCCCCACTCCAGTGCACAGTGAAAGCATCGGAAGAGCTCCAAAGTGCTGGACTCCATCCCAGGCCTGGGAAACGAGACTCTTTAAGAACAGAGTCAAGGCAGTCCTCTTGATGAAAAGTCCCAGGAGCTTCTGCAGCACAGCCTAGCCTAAGTCCTCCCCTATAGGTAGCTGTCCTTTCTCCCCTCTGCCCGAAGAAGAGCAGCAGATCACCCACCCACCCCACCCACCCTGCAGATGATAACCAGACACTTCTGAGCAGGAAAGCAGGCTGGGGAGGGGCAGACAGCTGTTGGAGACTCCCAGTATTTGAGAAGTGTTCAGAATCATCCACAAAGACAACCTGAGGCTGAGGACAACTACAGATAATTAAAACTAGGGCTGGGGTGGCTCAGTCTGTTAAGTATTTGCTATGTTTGGTCCCTAGCACCCACACTTAGAAAAAAAAAAGGCAGAGTGTGGTGGTGCGTGCCTGAAACGCTCAGTGCTAGGGAAATGGAGACAGGTGGATCCCTTGTGCATACCTGGTGAATTCTTCCCAGTCAGTGATTGTCTCAAAACACACACACACACACACACACACACACACACACACACACACACATACACATACACACACACACACAGAGGGGATGGGAGAGAAGACAACAAAAGCTACCCACCAGGAGAATGGTCCCTCTTCCATATAATCAGGTTGCAGAAGATGGATCTGCCAAGCTCTGTTGCTCTGGGTAACTGTACTGTGGGTACTCACAAAGCAGGCAACTTCTGTCACTTGAACTGGTAGCTTTGTGGCCTTGAAGAACTCAATCTCCCTGTGCCTTGGTTGGTCCATTCATGAAAAAGAATATTGATCATGCTTTATAGGACCATGGTGAGGGTTAAGCGAGTTAATATAAAGTACCCAGTGCAGCACACAGTAAGCACTCAATACATGTTCAAATGTATTCATGGGAAGGTTGCCAGGGCTAAATCAAGTGTGAAGGTCAAGGGGTAAAGGTCAACCAGTTTCTTACTGCAAGATGTCTTGAAATGACCGTGCTAATGGTGCAAGTGGTAGGTGCCAAAAGTATCAAGGGTCACTGAGATCGTAGGCATGTGCTCCATGCAGACAAGGGGCTGGGAATACACGATACCTCACGGTATTCTCAGCAGGCACTCTATACACCTCTCCTGAGCTGTCCACACTGTCCTTCTGAAAAGCCTGTGACATGATGAGCACTCCAGTAAGCACTCTGGATGACATCCTAGAGAGAGCTACATCTTTCCCAACTCTCACCAAGGACTTGTTCCAGGGTGAGTGCAGGAGAATCTTGTTACAGTATCAGGAATGACATGCTAGGTGAAGAGAGGTACTGGGATTGGGCTGTGTCCTGTGAAAGAAGCTTGATGCTGTCAGTCAACTGGACTGCTGCCTTTCTATTCCCTGGCTAGATGGCCTTGGGCAAGTCACCTGGCCTCTCTGAGTCTGGTCTCCTTACCTATACAATGATGGGGCATTGGCTCTGAACATCAGAGGCTCTGAGGTCTCTCCTGGGACCAACAGTTTTCATGAACTTCCAGCAAGGCTGGGAAGGGAATGGGAAGAGGAGGGAGGAAAGGAATAGCTGGATCCAGACTTAGGAGCAGTCTCCAAAGAGGCTCCACACTGCTCACCCCCATAAAGAAGCAAGGTGAAGTGGTACCAAGCCAGGATGGACAATGCAAGGAGTGGGGAGAGAAGAGAGGAAAGGAATTCATGCTGCCCTTGGTGTATCTAAGAGGAGTGGGGAGAGAAGAGAGGAAAGGAACTCATGTTGCCCTTGGTGTATCTAAGAGGAGTGGGGAGAGAAGAGAGGAAAGGAACTCATGTTGCCCTCAGTGTATCTAAGAGGAGTGGGGAGAGAAGAGAGGAAAGGAACTCATGCTACCCTCAGTGTATCTAAGAGGCCATCAAGCCCTCTAGGCCAAATGGTTCTATCTTTAAAGAATTATGGTAATCACATGCTGTAGCTTCCAAACAAATCATCAAAGCTGGGTGTGGTGGCCCATACCTGCGATCCCAGCACTCAGGAGGCAGAGGCAGAAGGGTCACGAGTTTGAGGCCAGCCTGGATGACAGTGGTTCCAAACCACTGTACACTTGACACTCTGAAGCTCAGGGGCCTTGCTCCTTCTCCACCCACAGAAATAGCACGCATGCCGAGGACTGAGACCATGCCAGATGCCTGGTCCACCACCTAACACCCCTAATCAGTCCAGCTCTCCTCCTGGGGTTCATACTTCCCTCTAAGCTTAACCGCAATATTTGCTCTCACCGAATTGATGACAGAGGAACAATTTCTCCCCATTTAACTGACAGTGCCTCCAAGCGACCAGACAGAATGACCTACTCGAGACTTCCCCAGTCTCTGTTGCCTGCTGAGCTCCCAGGCTGTGAACTTCTCCAGAAGAGTGTGCTAAGCCCTGGCCTGGTCTTTTGTCCCATTTCCATTCTTCATTTCCTGCCACCTAGTGTCCCTCTGGTAAGTGCCAAAAGGGAGAAGTGTGTCATTTCATCGGCCTAAAGCTACCAAACAAGCCAGTGAGGAGGTTATCTCCTCCCCGACCTCGGCGTTTTTCTGGCTCAAGGTTTTGTTACTCAGTTCCTAAAGGAGCTGCTGAGGAAGGACAGGCACGCTGCAGATTGCTGGGAGAGTGTCCAAAGAGCAGGGCATTGCCAAACACGGAGTGGCAACTGTTGAAGTTGGGGGGCCCAGCAAAGCCAGCAGCCATTTCAAAGAGTTTTTTGGAGGCACTCACAGGTCAGGGGAGGGGAGAGAGGCACACACGAGTTGGACAAAATCAATAATTGCTCTAGATGACATTCTCCGCTGTCAAGGGCAGTGTTCAGATCTCACTGGGTCAGCTGCCCAAGAGATGGGGTGTGCCTGCAGTTCATCCACGGGGCTGAGCCTGCCAGACCTGACTCTGCGAGAGCTGGGGTAAGACTTCACAAGTGTGTGAAGGGTGGGGTATTGTATACAGAAATGCTCTCCAGGTTGTTTGGGGGAGGACTGTTTAGCTGGCAGGAGCAGCTTGCTTTTTGCTGGTGGTGTTGATATGAGATCAGAAGTAGAGAAACCAAAAACGGTACACCGCCCCCTGGGGGTCACCTTGGGTGTAGGGGAAGGAATCGCTGTGAAGCAGGGGTTCCTGTTTTGCATGTGTTATTTTTCTAAACAATACACCAACTAGGCAGCAAGAGTTGATGGACTTTTACAAGGTCACATGATGGGGGGGGGGGGTCTGAACTCAGAATGGGCATTTCCCGGCTCTTCATTCTTCTCTGTCCCTGGAAGCTGGCTGGGGTCACTGGATTTAGACTGGAAGTGGCAATATGCATTGTAACAACTGGGTCACAGGGTCACAGGAGTGGGAGACCTTCCCCTGAGCCTTCTGTCCCCCAGAGGCACTACCCTCATCTTGAGAGCTGCACAATTCAGCCCCTCAGGCCTGCCCATAAAAATCTAAAGGCAAGCTGACCTAACTGAACCCCTAGATCCATCTCTACCAAGTTCACAGGGTTCAAAATAGTCAATATCTCACAGAGACGGTGCCAGTGGGTGCCTGTGAGTGACACCCTGACTTAGAAGCAGTTCCAGGCTGCTTCTATCTGCTGGTTGCTTTTCCCTGTCTAAACTCACCATAGGCAGAGCCCATGCCTCCTTGCAACACACACACACACACACACACACACACACACACACACACACACACACACACAGCTTCTGGATTTATGCTTTTCCCAGATGAACCCGCAAGCCAATCATAAACAGGATGGTCAGATCAGGGCAGCTAAGCCCACAGAGAAAGCTAATTAGGGTTTGCTTTCTGATTTCCCATGCTCTAGGAACTATCCAGTGTGTGTGTGTGTGTGTGTGTGTGTGTGTGTGTGTGTGTGTGTGTGTGTGTGTGTGTGTGTTGAGAGGGAATGGAAGGGAGGCTGCAGGATTGATTATGACTTATTAAACTATTGGAACACCGACTGAATCATCACAGTCAAAAAAATAAATAGCTACAACTTGATGCGACACATCTCCCACTTCTTGCTCGTCCCTCTTTTCTCCCGCAGAGCGCCACAGCGGTGTAGGAGGAGTGGTTGGACTGGGTCAAACCAGCAAGCACTGACTGGCAGGCTAAATTAAAGCTAGGAGATACTATGGCCCCAGGGCCTCCAGCTAGAAAACCTGTCGAGCCCCGCAGAGCCCCTGCTGGCTGCGGGAACAGAAGCCAGGAGAGGGCACACACACCTGCAGACGCCTGCAGCAGGATATCTGCTTGCTGCTTTCACCCCCTTTTCCCTCTGCCCTGAGCCTGGGACTGGTCCGTGGTAAGGCACGGCTTTGCAAACTTGAGAACACGACTTAAAAGGTCCCGGAGCGAGTCTAGGTTACCCCAGCCCCTGCACCAGCTGTCTGGAATTTGTTGGGTAAAACAGAACTGAGTCTCCGAAATCGGAGAAAAATCAGCGCGGGTCCTCACCGGGAGGAGTCGTAGGGACACTGACACCACTTCATCCTGGTTCGCTGTCCCCTCCTCCCCGGGCGCCCTCAGGATTCTCCACTCTGCTCCTACAGGACTGGATGGGCGGAGCGAAGCTGCTGTGACGTCAGAGCGGGGGGCGTGGGGAAGTGTGCCCAGGGGCTGCCACCCGCCTGGGCCAATGCTAGCGGTGCAGCCACCGGCGCGCTCGCGAGGCGCCCGGAGCACCAGTCCGCTGCTTGGTGTCGATGATCTGCAGGCCAGGCTAGCTCTCTCGGGGCCCAGGCTAGCTCTCTCAGATGCCAGAGGGGCCCGTACGAGCCAGCCAAGGAAGCTGAGAGCCCAGGAGCCAAGCTGCTGCACTCACGGGCGCCGGGCTGGGTAAAGGACAGCTTCTGAGTGCTGGAGAACCGAGAGCTCGTGGAAAGCAAGGTGAGGGGTGTGTGTGGTTGCCCGTGTGTGTGCATATGTGTGTGTCACAGAGAGATGGAGGGAGCGACGAGCGCACTTGGGCACCTGCGTGCTTCTGCGCTGGGGATAGAGCGCTGATCCCGGCGACCTGCATGTTGGTCCCTGCGCGCAATTCTCTGCTTTTGTGCCTTTGGAGGTGACAGGTAGAAATGAAGGATGCGTATCCTGGCGTCAGGGGTGGAAAGGTAGTGTGTTCTAGGACGGATCTGTCCGCACAGCCACTGCCCAGGTGCGGTGGCGTGTGACCTGCGAGCCCGAGTGTCCAGGTGGAAGCTGGATGGGGACAACTTATTTTCTAGCCACCTGCGAAACAGCCCTGTGCGAAACAGCCCCGGTCCAAGGAAAGCGAGACCAGCTAGAGAAGGGACATGCCAAGTGCCACCACAGGGCTCCTGAGTCCGCACCCTGAGACTGAGACCCAAATTAGGGAAGGGACAGTTGATGGGGGGCATCGCAGAGGGAAGGAAAATGGGTTTTTCTTTTCTTTTCTTTTTTTTTTCAATCGCCCGATGGAGAGGCGGACAGATTCGTATGCGGTCAGGTCCCTCCTACACCCCGCCGCCCTCGGGCAGAGACATCTGTCTAGATTGGAGAGAACCAACCACTGAACGGTCAAGTCCCCAAGCGACTGTCTGTCCCTGGCACCTATCCCTGACACCTCAGTCCCCTCTGTGTATCGAAGCTGGATGTGCAGGCACCACGGTCCACTCTTCCTGGAAATGGTGGGAATCCTTTAGGGAACACGTTGTTTCCAGGGTCAGCGAGTTGATGGCCCCAAATGTCCCCCCACCCCGCCGCCGCCGCCGCCGCACGAACTCTGCGATCCTGAGTCTTGCTTATTTACCCGCCTCCCACTCACTCAGCCAGTGCTGAGGGGCACTCTAGCGCCTTAGTGAACCACACAGGGCTACTGTCTATGCTGGTACCGGTTCAGTCTCCAGCCCCAGATTCTTGGAGTGGGGTGGGGGTGGGGGTCTCTAGCAGGCTTAGGGGAGAGGGTCTTGAGGGCTCACAATGGAAAGATGTCAGGACGTCAGTGACACTAAATCGGAGTGGGCTCTATCGAGCATATGGGAACAAGAGAGGATTCCTGAGACCGTGGAAACCCTACTCTCCAACAGAGCCAGGACTCTCTCAGGGGAAACCACCCACCAAGCCACAGGCTGATATTTAACAGCCCTGACACAGGAAAAAAAAAAAAAAAAAAAAGCAGAAAAATCAGACTTCCTGGTGCATTCAGTTTAACCACAATTCAACAAGTATCGACTGGTGGCATTTGGAATTCTTTTGGTGAGACAAACGTAAAATGAGAAGCGGTCACTTGGGGATGTTAGGCACCTGACTAGTTATACAGGACTCCCTAGGTTTTAAGCTCATGTCTTCCTTGGAGGAGTCTCTCCTTTTCCATGGAGCTCCCCAGCATATGACCTACACCCACCTTCCAAGGCTCTGAATCTCTGTATGGCTGACCTCCCCAACGTGGAGGTGTGTCTCAGCCAATTATAGAGAAAAGTGACACCCTCCCACCATTCATTCTGCACAAAGGGCACAGTTCGAGCTGAAGAAGCACATTGGGCCCTGTGTGACCACCACTCCTCTCTTCCTCCTCCTCCTCCTCCTCCTCCTCCTCCTCCTCTCTTGGCTCTAGATAGGGATTCTACAGCCCCAGGGATTCTTCAGTCTCAATCAGACACTGAAATGTACCCTCTCATGGTACGTAGATGGCACAAGCTAACGGTTCCTGTAAGGTCCCACTGCAAGCAGCTTGAATAGGATTCTGGGTCTGTAGAATTAAGTAACTGACAGGATGGGGAAGGGAATGGAAATAACCCGAGTTAATCTGGGGATACAGAAACAGTTTCTTTAAAGCTTCCGGTTCTAATAGCTGCCTGCTTCTGCTTGCTTACCCAATGCAGACACAATGCAGTGGGTCCCCCAAATACAAATGCAAAATCCCAGACCTCATTGTACCAAACATGTGCTGGGGAAATTAACGCAGAAAGAAAAGCCAGGCACTGGCAGTACAGAATGAATCAGAGGCAGAGGTGGGCAAGGAGCACCTGCCTGTTGCTGTCTATATCTTTGATTTCTCTGCAGTCTCTACCAGCATCGGGCATTCACTTGGAAAAGTACTCTGCTTAGGGGAAATGCGTCAGGCAAGTGAAGTAGTGGTGCTATACATTCCAATCCTTCACCAGCTCCCCTCTTCCTGGATGGACCTCCTACCCTGAGCTCTTATATACACAAGACCCAGCCCCCAAAATCCTGAGAACACCCCCCCACAGCCAGGGAAGAGTGGTGTTCTAACACACTTTGTTCATAGCCTTACCTCCATGCAATTCACACACTACCTGACTTGACTCCCTTGCCTGACTCCCCTATGGAAGTATTAGCAGCTAGAGAGCTCCATCAGAGTGACACACACACACACACACACACACACACACACACACACACACACTGATGCTTTATAACTGTGGTAAATCACTTAATTATGGATTGATCTCGTCCTTTATATCTTAGGCCAAGCAAACAGCATTCTCATTATTTTCTCAGCATGGAGGTCACTCAAGCCCAAGTCCCAGTCATCAACTTCCATCCAGTGAACATCAGCCAGGACACGTTGAAAATCACAGAAGACTTAGGGCCAGGTGGCTCATGTTCAAGTATCCACTCCAAGGACTTTAACTCTCTAAGCCTCGATTTGCACTTCTTTAAGTGAGGGAGGACAGTATCCTCAACTCCCACGATGGTTAGGGAGACCAAGGGGACAACAGGTATGGATGAACGCCACCAGTTCTTAATAGCCTCTTTTGACATTCATGAACAGCCTAAATCCATCACCTAGCTTCTGTTTTTGCCCTAATCTGTGAACTGCAGCAAAAGGCCATGCATTGCAGGGAATGAAGTGTGTGTGGGGGTGGGGTGGGGTCGGCTTTAGGAAAGGGCTTTCCTAAGCGGGGAGTTGGGTGGGGAATGGAGGGCACTGAACATTGGAAAAACAAAACCAAGAAGAAAAATCGCCTAAAGCACACATTTAAAAAGCAAAAGAAAGCCAGACTCTTTCTTTAAATATTAAAGACTATAACTTGATTCACTGTGTAGTCAGGTTTCAATAAATTAGAGCTAATGAGACAGCTGGGTGGGGGTAACATTTTCCTGCACAATGTTAGGCTTTTGCACATATCTTCCTTCTCGTATTTATCCTTCTTGACCCCCGCCCCCATGTTGACAAAGGAGAGTCACAACAGTTAAGGGCTGGGCATGAGGTCACGTGGGCCTCAACCATGGAGCCCAGATTTGTCCTTCCTTTAAATTCTTGGGTTTTCCCACCATGGTGGTCTCTGAGTAGAAATGCTCCCAAGCAGACATCAAGCCTGCGTGGGATTCTTCATGGGGCTTAGAATGCTGGTGTCAGCCCCCTCCAAGGTCAGGGGCTGAAACCCTCTAAGATCTGCTTTTTTTTTTATAGTCTGAACCAGTCAATTCCTTAGGGGTCAAAGTCTATGTGTTTCAAGTCATAGCCATCCGCCACATGTGCGTCATCAAAGATGATGGTTTAACCCAAACCCTTCCCCCACCATTTCAAAAAAGACCTCAAAAAATCTGCAGGCTGACAGGCAGGCTTGCAGCTAGATGGGAAAAAAAAAAAAAGAAAACTTTGTTTTTAGTTGAAAATACATCTAGGAGAGCAAGGCATGGTAGCTCATCCCTGTAATCCCAAGCCCAGGAGGTGAAGACAGGAAAAGTGCTGTGAATATAAAGCCAGCCTCAGCTACATAGTGAGTTGCAGAGTTCCAGGCTAGCCTGTCTCAAACAAAAGGGAGGGAGGGAGGGAGGGGCAGACGGGGGATGAGGGGAGGAGGGAAGGAAGGACAGAAGGAGACTAGGGAGATGGCTCAGTCAATAAAACACTTATGTTTTATTAACTTATGCGGGGCAGTGGTGGCGCACGCCTTTAATCCCAGCACTCTGGAGGCAGAGCCAGGCGGATCTCTGTGAGTTCGAGGCCAGCCTGGTCTACAGAGTGAGTTCCAGGAAAGGTGCAAAGCTACACAGAGAAACCCTGTCTCGAAAAACCAAAAATAAATAAATAAATAAAACACTTAACTTGCAAGCAGGAAGACCCGAGTCAACCCCTGAACCCATGTGAGAACTGCTCGGTGTGGTGACGTGTCTGTAATCACAGCAGTGTCGGGGCAGACACAGGTGGGTCCCTGCAGCCGAGGCTACAGGGTGAGAAACCCCGACTCCAAAGGGGCGTGGGGTGCTTTGCCTCCATAACAACAGCTAGGAGTAGTTTCTGGCCTACACACACACACACACACACACACACACACACACACACAGAGGAGAGAGATAGAGAGAGGGGGGGCAGCTGCACTCACATAAATACACAAAAGAAAGAGAAAGAGCAAGTGGTAGGAAAATGTCTCAACAAGAAGATAAACCAGGCAGGTGGAATATGGGAGTCTAAATAGCTCGGGACTGATGGTTACTTTTCTTTTTCTTTTCCCAGATGTCCCAGTAGGTTCTTGGTCCCTGGAGCCCACTGAGGTGAGAGGAAAATCTCTGGGCTACTTGGTTCTAAACTGACTGAAAAGCAGCCATGGAGATGGCATCTGAGCAACTGAATGGGAGCCAGATCTGGATGCCTTCCCCGTTTGACATCAATGGGTCACTGCGACCAAGCAATGATTCCAACCAGACAGAGCCATATTACGACATGACAAGCAACGCGGTCCTCACGTTCATCTACTTCGTGGTATGCGTTGTCGGACTGTGCGGCAACACACTCGTCATTTACGTCATCCTCCGCTATGCCAAGATGAAAACCATCACCAATATTTACATCCTCAACTTGGCCATTGCAGACGAACTCTTCATGCTGGGGCTGCCCTTCTTGGCCATGCAGGTGGCACTGGTCCACTGGCCTTTCGGCAAGGCCATCTGCCGGGTGGTCATGACTGTAGACGGCATCAATCAGTTCACCAGTATCTTCTGCTTGACAGTCATGAGTATTGACCGTTACCTAGCTGTGGTCCACCCTATCAAGTCAGCCAAGTGGAGGCGACCCCGGACAGCCAAGATGATCAATGTGGCTGTGTGGGGCATCTCTCTGCTGGTCATTTTGCCCATCATGATATATGCTGGCCTCCGGAGCAACCAGTGGGGGAAGAGCAGCTGTACCATCAATTGGCCAGGTGAATCTGGGGCGTGGTACACAGGGTTCATTATCTATGCCTTCATCCTGGGGTTCCTGGTACCCCTCACCATCATTTGTCTTTGCTACCTGTTTATCATCATCAAGGTGAAGTCCTCTGGAATCCGAGTGGGATCGTCCAAGAGGAAAAAGTCAGAGAAAAAGGTCACCCGAATGGTGTCCATCGTGGTGGCTGTCTTCATCTTCTGCTGGCTCCCTTTCTACATCTTCAATGTCTCGTCTGTGTCCGTGGCCATCAGTCCCACCCCGGCCTTGAAAGGCATGTTTGACTTTGTGGTGATCCTCACCTACGCCAACAGCTGCGCCAACCCCATCCTCTACGCCTTCTTATCTGACAACTTCAAGAAGAGCTTCCAGAACGTTCTCTGCTTGGTCAAGGTGAGTGGTACGGATGATGGGGAGCGGAGCGACAGTAAGCAGGACAAATCCCGGCTGAATGAGACCACAGAGACCCAGAGGACCCTCCTCAACGGAGACCTCCAAACCAGTATCTGAGATACCTGGAAACACAGCACGCGCACGTGCGTGCACGCGCACACACACATACAAGCCAAGCCTGCCTCCTGGCAGTGTGCTTCCCCTCACCTGCTTCCAGCCTCCCCACCCATCAGAGCTGGCTTCTAGAACAGACTGTTCTACAGGAGCCCAGTTCAGAGGACAGGATCTGAAGCTGCTTGTCTGAGAGTTTATCCCACTGATTATGTCTCCCTTAAAGTGAACATTTTCGTGCAGGCAGACAATTCAAAGTCTGGAGAAGAGGACATCGTTGCCTGGGTGTGATGTTGAGGAAAGCAGCCGCTGGGGAGAAATCGGAAAAAACAAAAAACAAAAAAAAAAACCCTAAACTAAACCAAAACCCTGTGTATGTGTGCTTATACACTACGTAATCTTGTGATCTGATATTTACATTTGTGTATTCCTACCTAGTCTCTTCGGAGCCAGTACATACATGCCTTGTGTTTGTAAACTGAAGTAGCTAGTTCGTGCGTGCTAGTGTAGGTGAACGTTTACCAAAACACTGAACCTGAAGAAATGAACCTGCCATGACAAGCCAACCAAGTCTAAACTTCCGGCATCTCTCTCACGTGGGCCTTTTCCAGACCCAGGAGGAGCATGAGCGGTATGTTCATATGATAATATGTTTTTGTAAAAAAAGAAAAGGAAAAAATGGTGAAAGTAAGGTATTTTTGTATTCTCCTTCCTGGAGGGTTCCTAAGCTATAGAAGCTTCTCGCCTCACAGGCGCTGCCTCTGAACCTGGACAGTTGTTTTGTCCATTTCACACACGTTAGTCAGAGTAAGAAGAGAGAGAAAACATACTGTGAGAGTCAGAATATAAACACGAGTTTGCCTCTCAGATTCAATCAGTTACTCATTTACCCGAAAGGACTGCAAGGGTTGTGGTCATCGAGCACTGTGTGTATCAAGACAAAGCATGCTTTGTTATCAGATCGGATGTTTCTCTCCTCAAATTGCTTTAGTTTTACTTAGAGAGACATTGGGGAAGGGGTGGGATCAGTGACCTGAAAGGCAAAATACAGACTATGATGCTTGTGGGTAAACAATTTGCTCCCCAAAACACACACACACACACACACACACACACACACACACACACACACACACAAATAAATAATAATGAGAAGAAGAAAAATGAAGTAGAATTATAACTTTAAAGAGAAACAATGGAAATTGTTTTGTTTTTGATGCCAGATAAGACTTCTTAATGAAAGAAAACAGAAATGTAATTTGACAGCTCCTCAAGGGTGTTTTGGGGTTTTGTTGTCCTTGGTTTTGGGGGAGGTTGTTCTTTCTTCCTGTCTATGTTTATGTGGTATACATTGTGTATTTATGCCTGTGTCTCTGTGTGTGCACATGTACATATGTGCGTGTATGTGTATGTATGGTGTGCACGTGCATGGGTGTGCATGTATGTGCCTGTGTGTGTGTAGGTTAGAAGTTGACTTTGCTGTCTCTTTCCACCATGTTCTACTTTATTTACTAGGCAGGGTCTCTTGTTGAACGTGAAGCTTTCCAGTCAAGCGAGTCAGCTTGCCTAGAGGATTCCACTTCTACCCCAGGAGCACTGTTGTTACGAATGTGCTGCCATGCCTAGACAACCTTTACGTGAGCCCTGGTATCCAGATTCAGGCCCTCACATGTGTGTTACCCAAATGAGCCATCTCCCCAGCTCTCAAAGGAGTTTTTATGTATTGATTATTAGTGGGGAGGGGGCGTGCTTGTCATGGCACATGTGTGGATGTCAATGGACAACTTTGGGGAGCCCGTTCTTGCCTTCCACCTTTATGTGGGTTATGGGGACCAAACTCACGTCACCAGGCTTGCCCAGCAAGCACCTTCACCTATGAAGTCATCTCCCTAGCTCTCTAAGATGTTTTTTGGAGAACTTTATACAAAGCCGGAAAGTCACAATACTGAAGACTCGGGAACAGGGCTTAGATGAAACATTCAATCAAGACCAGCTAACGGAGTATATAGGTGTGTGCAGGGCAAAGGCTGGGAGCCCCATCCTTCACAGGGATGGCTGTGTGGCCTCCTTCCTCAGTGGCGCATGCGTGGAGTGCCATACATGTCATGATATGGCCTCTCCAAGCTGCTCCTCACACTACCAGTGGTGTTTGTTTGTTTCCAGCTGTAGATGGGTTTGAGTACAAATGACAAGGAAAGACTCCGCCCGCATCCCCTCGGTGGTCATGGCTCTAGGATCTGAAGAAAATACAAATGCAGGCGTGTGGGAGATGCTGCTCACGCTGGGGTCCAGAAGCATCATTTTAGCCTCCCACCTGTAGACTTTAACTGGATTTTAAAATGTGCTTTCTTCTTCTCGCTCCCTCAGCAAGGACTCTTCAGTGGTCAGAATGGCTGACTGTCCTACTTCTGGTCACCCTACCTTCTCAGGCTACATCACTCATCCCCAAAACTACTTAGTGTGGCTTAGGAAGATACATTCAGTAGGCCTTGTGATAGGCAAATAAATCCACCCAAAAATAAAAGTACAATCATAAAACAAGACTGCAGGGGCAGTTGTCGCAAAAAGATAAACATATGCAGAAAAATCCCAGACTGTTAGCAAAGGCAAAGTTAGCTAGGAGTTCAGCTTTGGGCTGGTCTTGGCAACCACAACAAACAGTGAGTCAGTCCTTCTTTTTCGCTTTAATACAAGTGGTGAAAAATCGGAAAGAAACACTATAGATAGAATGTTATCATTACAATTGGAGATATGTGTCTTGAATAAAGGCCCTGTTTTCTTTTTTTCACTTAGGGAAATCTCTCTAAGAAACCCAGAACTGATGACAATTATTTCAGGAAGATAGGTCTGAGTGACTCTATAGTGTTCATGTCCCCATACTTGAGAAATTGTCTCCAACAAGGCTTTGATCCTAAGCAGCCACCAATGACCTCCAGATGGGGTGTCTAAGCAGTGTCTGTGGGTACTTGGCAACAGGATGGTCATTTGGGCAGGAAGAAAGGGACCTTAACATACATGGTACAGGTTGGGAGGTGGATCAGTCAGGAAAACACTTGCCTCATAAGTTTGAGGACCTGAGTTCAGTCACGAGCAGTGCTGTGTGCTTGCAATCCCAGCAATGGCAGGAGGCGGGTGGAGAGAGATGGACCTCTGGAAGCACATAAACCAGCTAGCCTGGCCTACACAGTGAAGGTCCGGGCCAACGAGACCCTGTCTCAAACAAAAAGTAGTGTGCCTAGGGATCAACACCCAAGGCTGTCCTCAGACGCACACACACACACCCTGCCAACCCATGTGCGTTCATACACATGAACACACACAATATACACCCACACCACATACCACACACACATACACATACCACACACACATACATATAATACACACATACACATACACACACACCACATACCACACACACATACACACAACATACACAACACATACCACACACACACACAACACACATACCACACATACATACACACAACACACACATACACATACCACAGACACATACACACAACACACACATACACATAAACACACACACCCAACACACATACCCACACACAAAAAAAACCACACACACATACATACATACAACACACATACCACACATACATACACACAAGCACACATACAAGATTGATGCTTAATTCCATACAGATAAGCAGTCAGGTTTCATGATAGGGAAATTTATGTTTCACCTGTTAAAGCACCTATATTTATATTTTAATTAAAATTTTAAAATATATTATTTTATATGTATGAGTGTTTTGCTTGCATGTGTGTCTGTGTACCATGTGTATGCCTCATGCCTGTGGAAGCCAGAATAGGGCACTGGATTCCTGGGGACTGCAGTTACAAATGGTTGTAACCATGTGGCTCCCAGGAATCAAACCTGGGTCCTCTATAAGAACAACCAGTGATGTTAACCCCTGAGCCATTTCTCCAGCCCTGAAGCATCTTTTTTTTTTTTTTTTTCGAGACAGGATTTCTCTGTGTAGTTTTGGTGTCTGTCCTGGATCTCGCTCTGTAGACCAGGCTGGCCTCGAACTCACAGATTCGCCTGGCTCTGCCTTCCGAGTGCTGGGATTAAAGGCATGTGCCACCACCGCCCGGCGCATCTTATTTAAAGATGACTTGTTCTCTGGATTTCTTTTATCCAAAAGAGGAACGAAAAATAACACAATTTTGGTTCACAAAGTCCCTCTTAGCTTCAACTCAACATCATGAAGACAAATCCTCTGGATGCTGGGGATGGGACAATAAGAAGGAATACACTGGGGCCAGAAAGATAGCTCAGCAGTTACAAGCACTTGCTACTCTTGCAGAATACCCTTTTGGTTCCTAGGACCCACGCTGGGCAGCTCACAATCACCCTGGACCCCAGCTCCATGGATCTGATGCCCTCTTCTGGCTTCTGTGGACACCTGCATGCAGGTGCGCACACACACACACACACACACACACACACACACACACACACACGAACATAATTTAAAGTCAAATAAACCTTTTTTTTTTTTTTAAATTAATGCCTCAGATTGACTTTGTGATCCCAATGGTCAGATGGGTTTTGCAAACTGCTCCTGGTCTCCCATTAGCAGGGGTTGCTCAGGGCAGATTAAACCTACGGAGACTTAGCAGGAGACGCACTGGGCAACACCATGGCACTGGGGTGCTAAATGACCTGAGGTTTGGTTCCAGGACCAGACAGCTGAGTAATTCTGGCCGTGGAGTTGCATTCTGTGTGAGGTTTGTGCCTTAACTTAGAACTCTCTCTGATATTGTGAAGAGGACAGTGGAGGGTGACGTGACAGGCGGAGGGGACAATGTGGACTGGCGGACAGGAGCCTGTTGGCTCACACGGATCTGACCGCTCCACAGCAGAGCTCAAGGGCTGCTTGATGAAGCTTCTGGCCCCAGCTTCCCTAGAGGTGGTCTGTATGAACACCGGGGTGTGTGGGAAGACGATGGCAGTTGAGATGCATGCCCACTCCCCAAGCAGCTCCAATGGTGACCCTTCAATGAAGGAAAGTCACAATCGATGAAAGTCAAGCTTTTGGGTCTTATTGAGGAAATACAGCAGGAGGATTCAAGCGGCTGGGGTGCGGTTGGAAAGTAATTAGGGTTTCTGAAGTGTGCATCCTCTCAGGGATAACAAGTACTGACGGGCCCAGCAGTTGAGCTCATAAGTAATGACTTAGAATCGATCACTTGTCTCATCCACATTTTTGCCAGCTTCCAAACACCGAATTCCCCAGCAAATGCTCTATCAAAGCAAATCTTCACTTAAGAGTTTGTTTTCCCTCTGTGAATAAATTCCTGAAAACAATTCCATTGGCGGAGTCTCTCTCTCTCTCTCTCTCTCTCTCTCTCTCTCTCTTTCAAGACAGGGTTTCTCTGTGTAACAGCTCTAACTGTCCTGAAACTCACTTTGTAGACCAAGCTGGCCTTGAACTCACAGAGATCCATCTGCCTCCTGAGTGCTGGGATTAAAGATGTGTACTACCACCACCCTGCTTGTTTGCTTGTTTGGGTTTTTTTTTTTTTTTTCCTAGCAGCTCATGTAGGGATGGGATTCTACTTTCAGAGGACAATCTTTTGTAGCTGTCATTACCTATTCTATTCAGCAATCCCTGGGCAGAGAATACTGTACTGTCTCAAAGACAAAGACTCCCCCATCGCCATTCCAATGCCTGCCCACCCCTTCCTGCACTCAGAGGGGCTGAATGCTAGTGGGTGAGCTGCTCGCTTTCCTAGAGATGTCTCTGGCTGTTCGTATCTGGACTATGCCTGAAAACAGGGCTAAATATTAACCAAGCCCTAGCCGAACCCACTGTAAAGCGTTATTGATTCTCCTAAGATAGAAGTGAGTGTAATGTCATTAAAATGAAAGGCTAAGCTTGGATCACCTGGTCCACTGAGTGCCTGCCTCCTTTTGGACAAGGGCAGGAAGCAGGAGGGAGCCAAAGGCTCGACTCTCAGTGCACAGACACAGAGCTGATATGTGGATGAGGCAGGCTTCATTTTACATCAGTCTCTTCCCTGGCATGGGCGGGGAGTGGAAAGAGCAGACTTCTTTGCTGGGATGCCGGTATCCAGCAGGGAGCAACTCACTTCTAGTCTGCGCCACCAGAGCCAGAAGCGGAAAAGGAATGTCCTGGTTTAGAGATACAGCCGTCTGGCCTTCTTACAAGGCCTGTTAAGAGATGGGATACAAGGGGGCTGGAGAGATGGCTCAGAGGCCAAGAGCACTTGCTGCTCTTCCAGAGGACCTGGGTTCCAAGCATGGTGGCTCAGACAATCTGTCACTCCAGTTCCAGGGGATCTGATGCCCTCTTCTGGCCTCTGTGAGCACCAGGCACACATGTGGTACACGGACAAACATGCATGCAAAACACCCAAACACATAAAAAAGATGGGGGCGCAGGGTGTGTGTGTGTGTGTGCACAAGGCTTACTCACAACAAAATCAGAACTGCTGTGCCATGGCCGGGACCACCCCTATTATTCAGGGGCAGGGGTCCTGGTTGTCCAAGCAATGGAGAAGGTCGCTTGACAGTAGAAGCCTGTGAAGAAAGTAACATGGAGGTCTCCCGAGAGCCCAGCCCAGGGGCAGGTCTACTAAATATGATCTTGCTAGCCCTGCACACAGCTCCTCACAAAGTAGATGCTGTAAAGGGTCAGGGCAGGGGCCCCAGAGGGAAACTGCTAGTCACTGTCACTGGAACAAATTTCACAATTAGCTGGCTGAGGTGACTAGCCATTACGCCAGGGACAGCAGGGGACCAGCCATTCCTAGCCAGTAATTCCTGTGCCTTATAGGGGTGGGGGTGGCTGTCCTGTTCCCAGGGAAGGGAATTAGGTTCATTGCTAAGGAAGCTAATATTTCTCTCAAAGGTATACATTTTAACATCAATAGTCCATTCAAATAGTCTTCATACACCATGACCAACGCTTAGCTGTCACAGGGGACAGTGTCCACAGGGTCTCCAGTTCCCCTCCGTCTCTGCTCTTACTCCCATTTTTGACATGTGTACACATGTACAAGTAACGCTCCCACACATGGCTGCTACGTGGGATACACATAGATACAAGTAATAAGCAGATTCACTCAAGTGTGTGTGCATGTGTGTACTTGTCAGACACATGAGGCACACATGCGAAGTGTGGGAGGCATGTGTGAGATACACATGTACACACACACAGACTTCATATACCAGTTAGATGAGACCTCCATTGAAGGCATTTCCCCAGCGGCTTTCAGTGAAAGGATAGAATCATAGTTTGACTAACACATTTGCAATCTAGGACTGTTTGAGGGGAGGTGATGGCCAGTGGGTGGGGTACTAGTTGTACAAGCAAGATGACCTGTTTCCACACGCCTAGAACCCATGGCAGCACATGTCTATGTCACCCCTCCAGTAGGATGGGAGGTGGGGACAGGAGAGTCCCCCAGAAGCTTCTGGAAGGCTAGCCTGATGTACACAGCAATGAATGAGAGACCCTGCTTCAGACAAGGTAGAAGGTGAGAACTGACCCCCAAGGTTGTCCACTGACTTCCATAAGTGTGCCATGGTGTGTACACCCCCCCAAACATGTATACACACACACACACATGAACATGCACACACATACACACAAAGAGAAATCTAGGAATGTTCAGTAATTATGCAGTGGGGAGAGATACATGCTCATGAGTTTATTTTCCACCCAGGATTCTGGGCTCAACACAGCCTACTGTCCCTGCTACAAACAGGCCATCTCAATTAAAATCTGAAAGTTTTGTGAACAGAGATAATATGAAAGCCATTTATTTAAAAGCAAAAATACATAGAGCTGCCGAAGAGTATGAATGGATCAGCCAGCATAAAGCATATCGAAGGCTAACAGTAATGTTTCTCCAGAAAAGATCACCAGAAAACAATTTTAAATGGGTCCCCAACAGGGACAAAACCTAGACACACATTGGGAGATTCCTCAAGCGAGGGGTCACCTTCATCAGGTCGGCCTGCGAGTGTGTCTTTGGGGCATTTTTCTTAACTATTCATTGATGTAGGAGAGTCCGGCCCTCTGTGGGCCATGCCATCTCTGGGCAGGTGGTTCTGGGCTGGATAAGAAAGGTAGCCGAGCAAGCAGTGGAAACAAGCAAGCCAGTCAGCTTGGTCATCCATGGTCTCCCCTGCTTTGAGTGTCTGCGTCAGCCTCCTTCAGTGAACTGTAACCCGGTGTGAGCCAAATCAACCCCTCCCTCCCCAGGTTGCCTTTGGTCATGGAGTTATCACAGCAACCGAAGCACACAAGGAGAGCATCTTAGATACCCCGTGTCTCTTAACACAAATCGAAAGTTGAGTATCTTGGCGAAGCTGGAACACTCCAGCACCAGGAAAATGCCGGAAGCTCCCTCTCTCCTAGGAGGGCAGCTCCACTGGTGTCTCAGTTACTTTTCTATTGTTGTGATAAAACACCAAAATCACGGCAATTTATAGAAGGAAGAGTTGAATTGGGCTTACAGTTCCAGAGGGTTAGACTCCGTGATGGCAGAGCGAAGGCATGAAGGCGGGAAGAGCCGAGAGGCTCTCAAACCACAAGCAGGAGGTAGAGAGCGCATTAGGATTGGGATTGGGCTTTGGAAACCTCCAAGCTCATCTCCAGTGACACACCTCTTCCAATGAGAACACCCCCACCTCATCCTTCCAAACAGTCCTATCAACTGGGGAACAAGTATATGAGCCTATGGGGCTGAGGGGCGGGGCTTCTCATTCAAACCACTACAGCAAGAGACTGGCCTCACTTGCCTGGTCCTGCTGCAGTCCACGTCTCTAAGCTAGAGGGGAGGATGCTGTCACTCCTGTCTGTGATGAGCTGGAATTGGACCTCCAGTGTTCAAGCTTGAGATCATTCCGTTAGCTGAGCTGCCTCCACATTGCCAATGGAGCCTACTCCAAGAGAGTGACTAGAAACCCTGGCCTCAGGGAAGCCGCGAATGGCCGGCCACCTCAGAGAAGTCATGAATGGAGAGAAGACTGGACTCAGTGAAGCCATGAATGGAGAGAAGACTGGACTCAGTGAAGCCATGAATGGAGAGAAGACTGGACTCAGTGAAGCCATGAATGGAGAGAAGACTGGACTCAGTGAAGCCATGAATGGAGAGAAGACTGGACTCAGTGAAGCCATGAATGGAGAGAAGACTGGCCACCTTAGAGAAGCCATGAATGGAGAGAAGGCTGGACTCAGTGAAGCCATGAATGGAGAGAAGACTGGCCTCAGTGAAGCCATGAATGGAGAGAAGACTGGACTCAGAGAAGCCATGAATGGAGAGAAGACTGGACTCAGTGAAGCCATGAATGGAGAGAAGACTGGACTCAGTGAAGCCATGAATGGAGAGAAGACTGGACTCAGTGAAGCCATGAATGGAGAGAAGGCTGGCCACCTCAGGGAAGCCATGAATGGAGAGAAGGCCTCAATGAAGACTCACTTTGCTCAGCTTTTGCCTAAAAGCCCTTTGGCAGATTCAAACCCTTACCTAAAACTCTCTTCCACACTCCCATCCAGAGATCTGGGACATGACAAACCATAGAACTTCCCTTTTTTCTCTGCACCTTCGTAAGGCCACAGCTGAGGTTTGAATGTGGAATGCCCCACTCTGCACCCCCCAAAGCTCATACAGGTCCCCAGCTGCTTGCAGTGTTTGAGAATGCTGTGGGAACTTTAAGAGGCAGAACCTTGTTGGAGGAAGTGGGCCTTGAGATTCCATAACCCAGTCCCACTTCCTGCTCACTCTCTGCTCATTGGCTGGTGATGCCATGTGACCAGCCCACACCGGCTGCTACCACCATGCCATCTAGGCCATGATAGGCTGTACCCCCTTAAACCCAGAATGAATCCTTCCTCCCTAAGTCACTCCTCATTAGGTATTAAAAAAGCCACCTTTCGCTTTCTTAGGCTCATCAACTTCAAGGTAGCAGAAGGGACATCCTAACCCCCACAAGAGGCCATGTTCCTAGCCAAAAAAGGCCCATTCTTAGGAAGACAGAACATCTCTAGTCCAACTGAATGTGGTTTGGCACCGGCAGTGTGTCCTGGGGCTGCTGAGCGGACATGGACACTGGCTGGAAAGGTAGAGGGTTCTTGCTGCTCCAGGATGTACCAATGAAGAACATCCTAATTGTGGAGGAAGAACTCATGTGGGGCCCCACTGAACCAAGCCACTCCACCAGGAGAGCCTGGTTTGGGAAGCTGGCTTCCCCTCAAAGGGTGCCAAGAAGGCTGAGACAGTGGAGTGCACCTGCAGGCTGACAGAGGAAGGTCGCTTGAGTCCTGGAGTTCAAGGCCAGCCAGGGGGACGGAGTAGGATCACAAAGAAAAAGAGTGCCGTGGTCAAGAGAGGCCCAGACACAATTAGTAAAGTCAATCTCTCTCCCTCCTTCTCCCTCTCCCTCTCCCTGATTTCAGAGTTCTTTTCTGTATCTACCCTACTCCACCTACTGTGTTTTGAAAGCCAGGCATGATGGTGCACGAGTGTAATCCCAGCACTGAGGGAGGCAAAGGCAGACACAAAAACAAACCAACCAAACAAACAAAACATAAGCTTGAGGCTAGCCTGAGCTACATAGTATCTGTCTTAATGTTAACGAAACAACATGGAAGTGTTCTCTAGAAGTTTAAATTTATGTATAAAATAAAAATCTCAAGCTAGAGAGATGGCTCAGTGGTAAGGAGTACTGGCTGATCTCGCAGAGGACCTGGGATCAATTCGAAGCACCCACATGGTGGCTCACAGCTGTCTCTCTAGCCCCAGGGGATCTGATGTCCTCTTCAGTCCTCCACAGACACTGCAAGCACACGGTGCACAGACATCTGTGCAGGCAAAACCCCCACATACACACAATAAAAAAATTAATTTAAATTAAAGGATTTTGAAAATTTCTCTTTTTTTTTTTTTTTTTTTTTTTTTTTTTTTTGGTTTTTCGAGACAGGGTTTCTCTGTGTAGCTTTGCGCCTTTCCTGGGACTCACTTGGTAGCCCAGGCTGGCCTCGAACTCACAGAGATCCGCCTGTCTCTGCCTCCCGAGTGCTGGGATTAAAGGCGTGCGCCACCACCGCCCGGCTGAAAATTTCTCTTTTTAAGATTTCTATGATACCTCCCTTAAACTATTAGTAAGTGGAACTCCGTTTTCACAATGCCGGCCGGGAAGTGACTTCAAGCGACGAGCCAGAAGAGAATCTGGGTCCTGTGACTTGATGGTCCAGTGCCAAGATCACTCTTTCTCTGTCTCTTCCTCCTGTTGGTCTTTAAGTGACACTGATATGGGGAGTTTAATACATAGCTGAGCAAGAGAAAAAGACCCTTCGAAGAACAGCTAACGGAGAACGGGCTCCGTCTGTTCCCATAGCGAGGGGGACAGGAGCCAGCTCAGCCAGCCGGTGAAGCTCCAGAAGCCAAGTCACTCCGGCTGCTGAAGTGCCAAAAACAAGGGACAATTCAAAGGCTCCCAGAGACTTTCAGGTCTCCAGACACACCAGGAACATCTCATTAACAAGGAGCAGCAGGGGCCGGGGAGATGGCTCAGGGAGTAAAGCGCCTGCGTGAAAGCGTGGGGTCTGCGTTCTGAGCCCCAGCGTCCATGTTAAAGCCAGAAGTTGTAACATAAGCCTATAATCCCAGTGTTGGAGAAATGGAGACAAGAGGATCCCACGGGATCCCACAGTCAGTCCAGCGGATTGATGAGCTGTAGATTCCACGAGAGCCGCTGTCTCAAAACACAAGGTAGAGAAGAGTTGAAGAGATGGCTCAGTGGTTCTTGCTTCTCTTGAAGAGGACCTCGGTTCGATTCCCAGTATCCACACAGAAGCTCACAACCATCTACAACTCCACTTCCAACAGACCTAGCACCTCTCCGGCCAAATACAGACACATACATAAAACAGTGGACAGAGTATATGAGCTCACTTCTTTAAATTTATTTATTTTTATTTTATGTGCATTGGTGTTTTGCCATGGGTGTCAGGTTCCCTGGAACTGGAGTTACAGACAGTTGTGAGCTGCCTTGTGGGTGCTGGGAACTGAACCTGGGTGCTCTTAACCACTGAGCCATCTCTCCAGATCCATGAGCTCATTTTTAAAACTTGCTTAAAGTGCACTGAACTCAAGCGGTGTGTTTTTTTCTCAGTATGCTTCCTCATTTCGAATCCATCCATTACTCTCTGGCTGTCACCAAGAAATAGTGGCAGCCTTTTACAAAGGAGACCAGTCATTGCCAAATGAGACTGAACACTCTTCTAGGCACACATAGACACTGCACACCCCTTTCCAGGTTTTGAGAGGTGCAGACATTGTTTTGTGTCTTTTTCTGAGGGTAGCGAGGGTCATGCTGCCTTTGGGCTCCCCCCTTGTATTTGAAGGCGGACTGGGGCCTCCCTTCTCCTGCTCTGCCATATCTGTAGATATGACATAACCCAGGGCACCCAGGAGAAGACTTCAGCAGCCCAGGCTGCAGAAAGTTTCAACTACGTAACTGATGGTTCCCATACACATGTCAACAAAACTCCCCCACAGCCCATCACCAGACTTTTGTCTGTTCTTATATGTTCTCATGATCTTCAGCGCTGATTTTCTTGCTGATCCGCCATCCCCACACCACCAGGTTTTAAATGGAGAACCTAAACCGCCTCTCCTCCCCCCCTGTGCACCTCCGTCACCGTCTGTTTCATTTGCAGATACACTGACCTCCATACTAGCTGTGAAAGTAGCCGTACAGCAGTAATACTAGAAAACAAAGGGCAAACGTTTCTTTTTTGGTGACTTAATTTTTAAACATTTCCAAAAGTGCTGTTTATAAAGCCTGTTCAGAGGAAATGGCATTCTCCATCAAAGGTATTCAAACTGAAGTCTGTTTACTAGGACTGTTATGGAAACTCTCCTCTGGGCCTACTTGCCACTGGAAGAGATCTTAGCTGCTCAAGGAAATGGGTTAGAATCTTACCAAATGGAACCAACCTTCCATCCCTGAGAGCCTGAACTAGAGACGGGCTTTAGAAAGATGCAGATGAGTGTCATCACACCTTTAATTAAACAAATGAAGCCACAGTGCCTTTGTCTTTGCTTTTCATTGATGGTCTGTGTGTCAGTGTTTTGATTGTGGGTATGTATTACACCAGTGTGCAAGCCTGATGCCTGAAGAGGTGAGAAGAGCGTGTCAAATCCCCTGGAACAGAGTTACAGGTGGTTGTGAGCCACCATGTGGGTCCTGGGAACTGAATCCAGGTCCTCAGGAAGAGCCACAAGTACTTTGAACCACCGAACCATCACTCCAGACTCTTTTCCTCTCCTCTGTGTGGGATCATGCCCAGCCTAGGGCTTGGTGCTAAGCCAAAAGAGAAGCACCCTTGTCTTGGGTCTGTCGTCTCCTGTATTATTCACGGGTCCAATAGAAACAGATGGTGCACTCAAGAGAAATGCATGCCATAAAGGAACCACATGCAGAGACATGGGAGGAGGTTAGCAAGGGACGGGCCTGGAGACAAGGTCAAGCTGGACACCCTAACCAATCCTGAAACAGAGGAGCAAAGAAGGAATGATGTCATGAGAGACCAGTAAGAGAAGAAGCCATGAGGAAGTGATGCAGTCTGCCACTGGAATCACTGGATTCCTTTGATCTCCTTTTGCTGGACTCAACTGGAACCAGAGGACAACTGGGACAGGGTAAGGGCAGAGAGGGGCTGCATACTAAACGTGGCAAGGGGAAGAGGCACACGTAGAAGGCACAGAACACCCTCTCATTGACCTCACAATGCTCTGTTAGAACAGCAGGTGCGCAATCTCCATCCTGGGGGTATATCTCAGTGACAGAGGGCATTTACCCAACATGCATGAGGTCCTGGGTTTAGTCCTCAGCACAGCAAACAATAAGATAATTAAATTGACAAGATCAATTATAAAATAAATACTTCGGGGCTAGGAAGATGGTTTAGTAGGTAAACTCCTTGCTATGCAAGCATGATGACCTAGGTTTGGCTCCCCAGAGCCCACATAGAAACGGGGCACAGTGGTGCATGTCTGTAAGCTCCGTGCTGGGAATGGAGACAGGCAGCGATCCCAAGGGCTCACCGCCCTGGCAAGCCAGGTGAACTGGTGAGCTTTGGGTTTAGTGAGACCTTGTCTCAAAAAATAGGCTGGAGAGCAACTGAGGAAGACACTTGGAGTTGACCTCTGGCCTCCATACATGAACCCATGAGAGTGCTCACACATAGGTGTACACACACACACATGCATGCACCACCACCCCTAGAGCAAGAGGTAAGCACAAATGGGCTTTCTAACACGTCAGTGCTCTGAATCCTAAAGAGTTTCTAGAAAATAACCCCTGGACCTGTGGGCTGCAACAGAGCTGGAGGATGGGGTTTCTAGTCTCTCGAATGGCATTTGAAGTGGAGAGCACCCACAGACCCAACTCTGATCTTGCTTTGCATCTACCTTGGGAAAAATGGAGCCTCAGTGCATGAATGTTCAAATGCAGGAGACTGCTGCCTCCATCTGTACCAAAAGCATAACCAAAAGGGGAGGGAAGGGGGTGGTGGGATGGCTCAGTGGGCAGAGCACGTGCTGTGCAAGGTGATGACGGCTGGAGCGCCATCCCTGGGGCCCATGCTAGAAGGAAAGAACCAACTCTACAAGATCGTCCTCTGACCGCCAATTGCACACCATGGCAGTTTGCAGATGCACAATAATAACATCTTTTTTAATTTTATGTGTATAAATGTTAGTCTGCACATATCCATGTACACCATGTGCGTGCCTGGTGCCTGAGGAGGTCAGAAGAAGGCATCAGTTCCTCTGGAACTGGAATTATAGACAGTTGTGAGTTGTTTATGTGTGTGCTGAGAACCAAACTCCATCCCCTGGAAGAGCACCCAGTGCTCTTAACCACTGAGCCATCTCTCTAACCCCAATCAATAAATTTGTTTAAATGTGCAAGCTCTTCAACGATTCAGTCAAATGGTTGCATTTTTCTCAATGTTCACTATATAAAAGGCCCTCTTGCAGTGGACCTGAGTTTGGTTCTCAGCACCCACATGGCACCCACCATCCATAATGGCAGATGGAAGTCATGGCTGCAGGAGCAGGAAGCTGAGGGCTCACATCTTGAACCGCAAGCACAAAGCATAGAGAGAGCACATTGGAAATGGCATGAGGCTTTGAAACCTCAACGCCCCCGCCCCCCCTCCTCCGTGACATACTTCCTCCAGTCACACCTCATAGGCCTCCCCAAACAGCGCCACCAACCAGGGGGGCCAAGGATTCAAATGCCTGAGACCATGGCTGACTTTCATCACTCAAGTCAACATATTCAGTATAGCTGTTATGGAGCATGAACATGTAAACAGACCAGCCGAGAAACTTCCAGACAAGAGATCAGAGGGTTTCCACAGAGCAGTGTCTACCTAATTCCATACACAACATTCAAAAGTGCAAAGGTGTCTCACACTTGGAGGCGAGGACACCAATGTTAGATTTGAGTATAAATGAACTCATGGTGATGTAAACCTAATCAAAACCAGGAGGCCCTAGTGGACAGCTACCGCTGTTTTTTCTGCTAAGTGGACACGATGTGCCTGTCAACTTGCCTTCTGAATGGTTATGTTTATGCCCATGAGTTACTGCTGCTGCCGCAGTTTTGGTCTGAGGGGCTTCCTTCTTCAGGGGGCAGCAGTTACTGCAGAGGCTCACGACTGGCCTAAGTGCCGAGTAACTATGGAATGTTCACCCTTAAATCTGTCTCTACACCACCATTTCCAAGGCTCCAAGAATGTCGTGGACGACCAGAAGAAAGAATGTAAGAGCCCGATGAAGAGGTGGAGAGTCAGGAAACAGTCTTCCAAGCATGGCATGGCCAATGTGTGCATGAACTCACAGCAGCTGGGATGACCA